GTTCAAAACAGTAGAGCTACTTTTACAGATGTGCTGTTTGGAGACATCTGGCTGTGTGGAAGGCAGAGCAACATGTGCTTTAAGGTGAGTCAGGTACGGTAAGCCAAGTGAACAACACACCATATCGATAAAGGTTTATTTTAGGCAAGCAGCATCGTGATGCAGTGGTCGATGCTGTCGCCTCAGTGGAGGTGCTAGCCCTTTCTGTATGTCATTTGTATTTTCTCTCTGTGCCAGTTTGGGTTTCCTCTCAGTGCTTTGCTTTCTTTCCACAGTAAAGACATTCTTGTTAGGTTAACCGGTCATCTACATTGGTCATAAGTGTGGGTGTGGGAGTGCATGGTTGTCTGTTCTCTGTGCTGGCATTCGGGTTGTGCCTCTTACCTGCTGTCCGCTTCCTCTTTGCCAAAGTGCAAAACCAAAATATTTTATGCTTAAAAGGTATTTATTCATGTGATGAAACATATTTATTTATTAATTTACTTGCTTTGCACCCAATTTTTAATGCATCAGAGGAGCTGGCTCTTCTCACTAAGTACTCTCATGTGAGGCATGTTACAGCAGTCTTGGCAGCGAGTTAATGCATCTGGCTGAAGTGGAGATTCCCTGGTCTGCGCCCACCACCCGTAAGATGAGGATTTTTTTTTAAATGTGTCTTTTGTCCTCTTGATATCAGTTCTAGATTAGGCACTGGAATAGACATCTGTGCTGTTTCTCAGATACAACGGCAGAATTAAATCTGCACATTGGTGGAAAAGAGGTGAGTGATGCATAAAACCTGATTCGAGGAAAATACCTTCCTTTTTTTAAACCTGATATGTACTTTATGATGAAATTATTAGAAGAACAACCAGCGCAGATTACCGCTTTTAACTAATGACATCATAACCACTTTTGGGGAAAACATTGTGTATTTGATAATGAGGTTGGTAACTTTTAAATGTTAAATCTAGTGGATCAAAAAGCCTGCAACCTTCAGATTTAAGGCACTTGATGGCTGATCATCTGTACTCACTCACTCACTAGTAACAGACAAAAGTGTTTCTAAAGTGGTGGATGGAAATTGGGATAAAAAAAAAAAATCCAAATCATGATGTGCAGCTGATTCTTGTAGATTTGTCAAGATGTAAAACTAGCTCTAAACAGATGAGTACAAATATTGGATTCTAGTTTAATGTAATACAACAATCGGGTTCTTTATATTGCTGCAAGAGTATATTTGGAGAAATGGGCTCCAGTTCTACTTGTTGAAAAGCATCTATTCTTGCATTCAAGCTTCTTCAGAGTAAAGTATTTCTGCTTTTGTTCTCATATAGTGCCAAAACACAGGCTGTCCCTGGCATAACTCTAGCATCAACAGATTTCTTAATGTACCAGAACTGAAAAGATCAACAGAGAAACCGATTTCTGGAGGCTTTTCTTCAATAAAAAGTATGCACATGTTGTGACCTGCTTTTGCTGTTAGACTTTTTTATTTTCTTCTGTTATCTTACCAACTGGCACATCACAATGAATTAATAATTAAATAAAATAACAACAGTTAGATTACATGGTTTTTCTGTTTTAGGATCCATCCCTGAGACAAACAGAGTGTAGCCTATAGACTGACACTGGATGCCTGAGCTGGTGGCTTATTAGAAAAAGGACATGGCCTTTCTTGAACCTTTCCCTAAAGAAACTGTTTCATTGTACATCAACATTACCTATGGCTAGGGGGTCTCTGTTACTCCCTCTAAAGACATTTTAGGGCCAGCACCGATATAGTGTTGATGTTAGCATTTACACTAACTGCTGGGTTGACAGTGCAGCAAGACACTGAACCTTAAATTGGCAGGCCGGTCCCCAAGGGTGTGCAGATTATCTGCATGTTAATGAGATACACTTTGTACACGCTAAGTTAAATCACTTATTTTATTATTTGCTATTATTTTTGTGGGTTGTCCAAGTTTTACGTGTAACAATCTTTAGAATCTTTAACTCCTAAGACAAAGTCATCCCTTTTCTTCTCTCTTGTGTTTTTAATGAAGGCTTTTGATTAGAAATTTGGGCTCTGTGTAGCTTAAGTCTCTCTAGCACTAATCAGATTTTACCGGCACTTCCTTTTATCATCAATCACTCTTCATCGAAAGGAGGCGTCTGGAAAATCTACTAAACCTGAAAATGTCAGAAGACATTTGTCTCTACGGTCAGTTGGGATAATTGGACACGGTGTTGATTGGCGACCTCTCCAGGGTTTGTAATAGGCTCAGAGCAGCTTGTCTGTTCATTTTGTAATTCCATTTGGTGAAAACACCATGAATAAAATAATAATAACCATTTCTTTATTGTTTATTACATTGAATCTGACCTTTCACTTTAAAAATAGTTTGTGGAAATATGAGATCAGTTATTTTGAGCAATGAAATACAAATAAATAATCCCTTCAAGGTTTGACAGTTTGAATAAAGAAGGTATATCAGCAACAGAATTTTTTGAAATTTAATTTTGCTTCCTGTGTGAAACCAAAGAAACCCAAAGTAATCATAGTGATTATGCTCTCTTCATGAGTATTTATGACAGCAGAGGAGAATGTGCAAACTGAAACTGCTAATGAAGCAAAGGGATTTTGCACAATATAGTGTCTTTCACCTAGTCAATTTAGAAATGTAATTCCCTCTCCATTTCCTTTTAATCAGATCCAAAGGGCCGTATATTTCACAGCCTTTTTATTAGACGCAGTTTCACAGCTGTTCCAACAAGGTTGTTCTTCAATTTGACAATTACACTGATTAACAGTGGAGCTCGAATGTGATATGCAGGCCTGTTAAACTTAGAGTAAATCAATGAAAACAACATAAAAGAAAATGTTCTCTACAGTATATGTCTCACTGTTTGGATTAAGAAAAAAGCCCAACTGAGAGATGTACAGCTGCTGGTGAAGTTTTACATTGTGGTAATTTCAGTTTTATGTACTGACACAGATCTTTAAAGCAGTTTGCAATGGTTGGACATTAATGGTGGCCTCATCATGTACAGGACGTGAACATTTCACAGTTCTTCCATTACTTTATGCCCCAACCAACAGCTTTCCTATTCTCCTGCCTATAACCATCAGCTATTTTTGGTTATTACTGACATTCAGTTTTAAATAACATGCCAACAGAACACATTGTGTTCATTTGTCTTTGCTGAAGCCAAATAGGTAAACTCCTCTGGTAAATAAGCACCTGGCTGGTAAGCTGTTGGATAATTAATGTTGCATCTGCTTTCATTTTTCATGCTGTTGTTTCAGTCTATAGATGTTAATTACTGTGGCATTCATAAGGATTCACCTCACAGCAACACACCGTTCTGTGTATCTCAGGAGGATGTTTGAGAAACTTGTGGCACAATAACTGATGATATCTGTTTGTGGTGTGACATACTACATGACATGACTTTCACGGCGTATAGCACACCTTGTGATGGTCTTGTCTCAAGTCATTTTTTGTGCTTTCTTTGCAGAGCAGCAATCACTGTGATTTTAGGAGATTCAGCCCAATTTCTCTGACTACTGTATTTCCTTTTGTTAAAAGCATTAATGAAAAGTTATGAATCTAAAAGAAATATTGCACTTTTTTGCGTATGTATCATAATTATTTGTACTTTCCCAATGAATCGCTTTCTGTGTGTTTTTTTTTTTGTTCCACAACAGGTGGAAGCAGACCAAGGCCCTATTCCTGAAAGCAGATTTAGTGAACAACTCTGAGTTGAGGTTTTCTGTTCCAGAAACATGTAGTCAATCTTTCTATGTCCAGAAACATTTATGCAGGTCATGTAAACCAGAACAACCTGCAAAAAGGATCATTTCATTGCAAAGGCTCAAATTTTAAAAAAGAATGAACATAAAAGGCCAGATTTAGGGTAGACCAGGATTTGAATTCACACTCTTTGCATCAATTGTTAATTACTGGAACATCCTTTAATAACCATTGCTTCGTTAAATGAAAGCTTAAGGCACTAACTCAAAATTAGCATCTCTTTCATTTTTGCAATTA